TACAAATGGAGGACAGCACCTTCGTACAATGTTGCGGGAAAGTACAAACTTTACCACCAATTACTCCCGACGATTGGTCGAAAACCATGTTTGATGAGGGTATCAAAACACGTTCGCGTCATCCTTTACAAATACATCCGAATAATACGATTTTTTTTCGTTGTTTGGCGTGTAATAATATATAGGTTCGTTTTCTAAACACTTGTAATAATAGTTATGTATTTATATTAATTACTTTATCTTATCCTATTAATTATAAAGTTCTGATTGATGGAATTAGTACTTATTGGCCCACACGATTGTAAATAAAATGCTGGTCTACCGCTGTCCTCCAGGCATCCAGCACAGTCACACCCCATTATATTGTAGTATCATATACTAGCGATTAGCGTTTAGTGCCAAGGGTAGGAATGAATCCACCAGGAACCCAGCACAGTCACACTCTATTATATTGTAGTATTATATACTAGCGATTAGCGTTTGGTTCAAAGGGTAAGAATGATATAGTAGTTACATACAGCACAAATATTTTGAAAGGTTGCTATATATAGTTGTTTATATTTTTTTCAAGTTTTATAGTTTTTACTTCTCGTTTTCGAGGGTCATGAGTAAGATGACTGAGGGGTTAATTATTTTAATCTCGTAAAATAAAGATTTAGTGTCGTTCTAACCGTGAACACTCGATTTTTTTGTGTGCAAATATACGTTATTTTTTTCATTCTCTTTTATCATTTCATATCCTTRGATAGCTTTTATACACTTTCAGTACATATAACTCAATTCTATTGTTTTCAATTCGTAATCTGAGTGGTTCGCAAATTTGAGTGCTCGCTGTTAAAGTAAAACGACAGTAAATAAGAAAGAAAGAAAAAATAAAAAGACAGAAAAGCGCGCGCGTACTGTGTGCAGTTGCAAAGAACGCGTGGATTGGCTGAACACTATGTGTTATGGGTGGCGTTCGCGGCTAACGCGTCCTCTTTCACCGCTGTGAGTCCAGCGAAGACGAGACGAACGGTGAGCTTGCAATGATAGAGACATGCGAATAATTGTCTAAGGTGTTAAAAAAGGTCTCTATCATTGCAAGCTCGCCGTTCATCTCGCTTCGATGCAAAGGCACGGCTACCTTTCAAGATGGCGCAGGGAGCTGTGAAGGGGACTATTGTTGAACTTTCTTCTTAATTGTATCACTCGGAATTGTGAACTGAATCATAATTACTTTTTTTTCCCCATAACTCGAAAACATGCATTTGATGGATTGTTTCTCGCCATTATTATCTTATTACTAGCGGGAACAATTAATTCAGAACGAATATTTAACCGCTTCAGTGATTTTTACCCATATTCCTTTCGGTCCAGTCGCGTAGGCTTGAGGCGGTCGACGACAACGTTTTCTATTTCGAAAATCGTTGTCGCACCGCAAGATCGTCAAGTAGAAAGCCAAGGCTCCAGAGAACGTCGGTAATTTTAGTTATAATTCATTTAATTATGGTTCATGCAAGTGGCTATAGGTCTACACTAATTATCATCTCAAGCAGCCTTGCCGTAGAGCAATTTGTAAAGTCAATAAATGAAAATGCACCATGAATAAACTAATTACAGCTAAAAGTACCGGCGTTCTCTGCGGTCTTGGCTTGTTGCTTGAGGCTTTTGGTGCGACAACGATTTCTGAAATAGGTGTGTATAGAATGTTCGAGAGCGTTGTTGTCGCGGAACGATATTGAATTAAATATTTCTAGCGGGGTGAGCTCTTTAGGTACACATTCTCGGAAGAAAAAAACACTATATACACCAAGCTGGTAAATATTTTTTGTAAAATTTGACCCGTAGAATCCAAGGGGATGACACTGCCTTTCTTCTATCTACTCCCTGCGCATGGCAGTGACATACATGCAAACCTCACTGCGCATGTTATTCATATATGTACAAACCTCTATCGTTCTATAAAGATTCATGTTCGTGACGTGTATTTAATAATCCAGTTTCGAATTCTCTGTTCTACAGGGTTAGTCTCGATTTCGTATGAAATTACTTTGAATATTCATACATTCCAGAGAAGGTCCGTGGTATTAGTCAAAGTGTTCGTGTTGAAGTTGTACTTTTTTAACCTTACCGTTAGTATTTGTCAATATTTGGACACTGAATTGAGTCTTAGAAAATGAGTCTGTGACTAAGGAACACAGCGGCGGTATTTTATTAATTCGAAAATGGACTATTGAACTATAAAGTTTTGTAAATTATTCCTGGGTTTTTTAGGTTGTTCAATAAACTTGCAGATCGTGTTTTTATACTCCGTGCTTTTAAGGAGGCTCAGGGTAGTTTTGGTCTGGCACACCTAGCCGCATTGAAACGGCTACAACTTCGTCTTGAATAACTCGATCTGCAAGCGCTTTTCACRCAATGTCAGGAAAGGATTAAAGGTTTCAAAAATGATAAATWAGTTTAAAGCGGCCTTTTCATTATGACGWAATGATGACATCATAGAAATCGTTTACCGCTTATTTTCTTGAAAACTAGACCTAATTTTTCAAAGCGATTTGCACCAGTCGATAGTATTCATCAAGGCACCCAACATAATGCAATATGAAAAAAATGTATGAGAGCGCTTTCCAAATATTACGCGATGAATATTTTCATGCACTTTTACTATTATTTCCAGCGTGACAACTTTATGCCCTCAAAATCGGGACTTTAATTTAGTGGATTCAATATTTTTAGTAGCTAGAATATAGGTACGGATATAGACACTGTCCTTATTGAGTATGAATCAAATTGTGACTTTCTTTTAACATAAACATGACATCCCTTTATTCAACACTGAAATGAAAAGGAAAATTATCAGTATTTCACTGTACCTGACAGTTTTCAAAATAAAGTTATTACTAATGCAATGTTTTCTTGTTATGGCGCATTGGTATTGTGTCATCACTGGATCCTTTTGTGTGGCAACTAACGAACTGCAGTCATGAACAAAGCTTCAAATGACAATTATATATCAATAGTATAGTATTCAGTTTACAGGAAGGTTACGCTTTATTACGTTTGACTGCTTTGCATTTTCACTTTTGCCTGGACTTATAATCCAGATAATGTTGTGTGTACGAAGGAATCGAAACCCCTTGATCTATAGCAAATGTTCAGGATTTTTCCTACAATAGGAAGATAAATAAGACAAAACAGCCCAGGTTAGTGACATTGCTATACTTCTACAATAAGTTGGTAGCTTTTTTTGATGTAGTTTCCTAACGTAATTACTGCATGAATGATTCAGTTATTTCACTCCTCAGCACAAGAAGTTATATATCTGTTTCTCAATTCAGTTGAAAACCAAACTGATGTCAGTTGACTAGGTGGATTGTTTTTATCAGTTGCACGAGATAGATCTGTTTTTTCCTTCAGGAATGCCGAACATTACGGCAAATTAAATGTTTTTGAGTAAAACTTTTAATATTAACTCCTTTTGCCTACGATGAAAACTTTTGCCAGTTGGAGTTAGAAAAGCAAGCAGACGAATCACTTAAGGGGGGTAAATGTTTGGATAGGGTTCTGTTCTGAGGTAGTTTGGTCAGGTATGTTTATTCGGTTAGCCATATTGCCGGCTACAAGAACATAAAAGCTTTGGGCAAATCGAAATCTCAAAATAGATATTTATTTGCTTTGTATTTTTTGCTTTGGTAAAAATATATGATTCACAAGTCCTTACTCATCTTAAGGAGGCTCTGGGTAGTTTTGGTCTGGCACACCTAGCCGCATTGAAACGGCTACAACTTCGTCTTGAATAACTCGATCTGCAAGCRCTTTTCACACAATRTCAGGAAAGGATTAAAGGTTTCAATAATGATAAATTAGTTTAAAGCGGCCTTTTCATTATGACGTAATGATGACATTATTTTCTTGAAAACTAGACCTAAACTTTCAAAGCGATTTGCACCAGTCGATAGTATTCATCAAGGCACCCAACATATTGCAATATGAAAAAAATGTATGAGAGCGTTTTCTAAATATTACGCGATGAATATTTTCATGGACTTTTACTATTATTTCCAGCGTGTCAACTTTATGCCCTCAAAATCGATCTATATGTTAAGTCGGTATGAGAACCCAACTGAGGCAGATTTTTTAATCTGCTTATACACTCGATGTAGCATACACTTAACATATAGATCTTTACCGAGTGACAAAAACACATTTCATAGATTTCTATGATGTCCTTAGTAATGGGGTTCGTTTCTATGAAACGACAAACTTCTTCATTCGCCTTAGCCACGTAAGTTTGCGATTACAATTCCTCATCCCCATCCATGATATAGTACAATTAACTTTTAAACAACCAAAAATTATAAGCTCAAGACACTCACGGATGAGCTTTGTAAATTCTTTACAAGATGCACTCGCCATCGACGTTTCTACAAAGAAAATCATATATTATCGGTACGTGCTGTTTTGTGTATTTTTAAATCACAAGGTATTCCTTAATTCTATTTTTTGAAGACTACAAGATCTTTTTGATTATGCATGAAAGTCATTTGTTTTAATGAGACGTGGGAGCTTGGAGAATTAAACAAAAACAAAGGTTTTTTATTAAAAATACATGAATAAAAAATGTCTTTTGTTGTTGTTGTTGTTGTTATTGTTGTTGTTGTTGTAAAAAATATATATATCGCTATATTGAAGAAGATCCTTGATCAGGGATCGAAAAGCCTAATTTTAAGACATGAAAAAGTCATTGAAAACAAGTAAAAGAATAATAAGAAAAATTAATACGTTATCATAATTACAGCTGGTATTTGAGCACAAGTCAAAGCAAATTGCTCATCAAAATAGATTTCTACCTTCTCATAAGGAGTCGTTCATTATGTATTAGAACTGAGGGGATGGTTGGGCGAAGAAAATCACGGAAGAACACTTAATCTATCCAACGGAGCGTAATTTGTTTGCCAGCTGATCATGCTTTATCACATTTCTTTTCAGATGGATTCTAACTCCAACCAAATAAGAGAGTCACGCCAGAAAGAAAAAGAAAAGACAAACCTTACTTTAGTAAAAGAGTTCTGCGAATACACAACTTGTGGTGGCCTGGGTCGAGTGGTTGCCTCACGGTACCTGGTGTTTAGGTTAATCTGGTTGCTATTGGTTCTTGGGGCACTTGGCTATGCTACTTATCAGATATATGGTTTGTATTTAAAGTATGAAAAACGCCCAGTTGCCACAACTATAACGATCAAGAACAAGGCGGTAAGTCAGCCATCCTGAAATATTTCACGCGTCTTCCATGCTTTTATATTAATACCCCCACCTAGCCTCCCATCTCACCCCCCCCCCCCCCCCACACACACACAATCACCACCCCTCTCCGTTTATTTGTTTCTCTATCTCTCAGTCTATTTGACTATCCGTTTTTCACTTTCAGCTGCGGTTTGTTTGTTTGTTTGTTTGTTTGATACTTTCTTTTTTTCTCAGTTCTTTCTTTTTTTCTTTCTTTCTTTCTTTCTTTCTTTCTGTAGTTTATAGTTATCTAAGAATTTGAGCCTATTTTTTACGGCAAATGTTAACTGTAAGTTGACAAGTGAAAAAAGAATATTTGTCTTTAGTGAAAAGGTTTGCAAAAAGTAAAGTAGAACGCAGGGAACTGGTCATGTCTGCCATTTAAGGTGCTGACACACGGTGCAACATTGCACGAAACATTGCAAGCAACAAATTTGAATCTGGGTGACACACATTGCAACAAAATCACGCAACATCGCTAGTGTCAGCCTGCTATGCTAAGATATTTGGTCAGCAGTTATAAATTTGGTGCAAGCTTGTTGGCTGGAAATTTCAACAATTGCACGCAATGTTGCAGCCACGTTCACACGATGAAATTTGTTGCTCGCAATGTTGCAAGAGTAGAGAGCGATTCAACTTCAGATTTGTTGCATGCAACATTGCGTGCAACGAGTTTCAGGGGTAGACACACGCTGCTGCAACTGTCCTGTTGCATGCAATGTTGCACTGTGTGTGCACCATACCTTTACGGAAACAGTCGATTCAGCGATTACCTTTAATTTTCAGCAATTTTTCATTCCAGACTCTTAATTTTCCATCGATCACTTTTTGTAATTTAAATCCCATTTTGAAGTCCAAGTTAAAGGATCTTCCAGTGAAGGCAAAGCAAGGGATGGATCAATTTATCAATCCAAGTAAGGAAATACTTTACGTTTGTTTTGCTTTCGATCGAAAAAGTCTCTATGTCTATATGTATTAATTAGGCTACAATGCCCGATTACAGACCAATTTAGAACAAATCCTCACATTGTCATAAACGCGTTTTTCAAAAAAAAATTCGTTTCAAACGAATTCCTGACTTTTTACGGCACGAAAAAGTTGGCAAAATTCTCGTGTCCACTCACTCTCGAAATTTCAGTACCGCGTTCGAGGAGCCTGAACAATTATATAGATTTACGTCATCGGGGTGATACACCAATTTTTTTGTGGGTCAAGAGTACTGTTTTTAAAAGTTTTAAGAAAGAAAAAATGCCGAAATATTGAGCTTTTACTTATTTAATATACGAGTGAATCCAACTTGGAAGAATGCGCAAGTCTTTCACTTTTGGAACGTATCACCCCGATGACGTAATCGCACCAGTCCCCCTTACGCGCGGTCCTTATRTGAAAAGGCGCGTTTTCAAAACTCATTTAAAAATCAGGAATGCATCCCATTTAGAAAAAAATTTGGATTTTCGCATTTTCATGAATATATCTTCAACTTACATAAGGTCTGTGATTAGGCATTAGGGGCACTTTAACCATTCCAGTAAGACTAACTTTATCTTTAATTTGGCAAAAATATTTAATAACAGCCATAACTATACTGGTAATAACAACCATAATCAAAAAAACCGTGGACACCTAGAAATGTACCAGAAAATTCTAGTGATTATTGTTCTTTTGCCAATCAAAAAATACTCTTTAACTACAAGATAACGTAAATAAAAAACGTAAATAAAAAAAGTCCCATTACGAAAAATGGGAAAAAATAAGAAATGCACTAAGTCATGATGTATCGAGCTTTCTCTCGGAAAATATAGAATAGGTTGTTCTTTTTTTCTCTCTTCTGCATTTTGTGTAATTTCCTTTACTATGACACAATAACAAAATGCTTGGCATCTAGAGAAACTCACCTAGTGCGTTTTCTCCCTACTTGTTAATAACTAGTAACTTTGCATAATATCTGTAAATATAAATAGCACCTAGTATAGTACCTGCCATTTAGACTTAGTGTGTCTCTCCATACATTTAAATATAAATAGCACCTAGCATAGTACCTGCCATTTAGACTTAGTGTGTCTC